TGTCACATGTCATACACGTCACATGTCATATATGTCACGTCACATGTCATATACTGTATGTCACATGTCATACACGTCACATGTCATATATGTCACGTCACATGTCATATATGTCACGTTACATGTCATATGTCACGTCACATGTCATATGTCACGTCACATGTCACGTCACATGTCATATGTCACGTCACATGTCACGTCACATGTCATATATGTCACGTCACATGTCATATATGTCACATGTCATAGATGTCACATGTCATATATGTCACGTCACATGTCATACACATCACATGTCATATATGTCACATGTCATATACTGGATGTCACATGTCATATATGTCACGTCACATGTCATATGTCACGTCACGTCATATGTCACGTTACATGTCATATGTCACGTCAGTTGTCATATATGTCACGTCACATGTCATATATGTCACATGTCATATATGTCACATGTCAGTTCAGTTTTTTCGAGTTGTTTCAGCTCACAGCTCAAAACTTTCATAATAAAACAACTTAATGGAATGGTAAATGGTAAATGGTAAATGGACTGTACTTATACAGCACCTTTCTATCCATCCAGGACACTCAAAGCTCTTCACACTAACAGAAACTCACCCATGCACACACACATTCACACACACATTCACACACATTCACACACTAATGATGGTAAGCTACATTGTAGCCACAGCTGCCTTGGGGCACACTGACAGAGGTGGGGCTGCCATGCACCGGCGCCACCGGACCCTCTGATCACCATCAGTAGGTAAGGTGGGTGAAGTGTCTTGCCCAAGGACACAACGACTGAGTCGACTGGACAGGGATCGAACCGGCGACCTTCTGGTACCAGGACGACTCCCCTAACCACTCTACCACAGGCGCCCCAATACAAGTTTGGTCTCAGAGATTGAGTCACATCTTCAGCAGCTGGTGACAGTGGAGAGGAATGACTCCCTTTTAACAGGAAGTGACCTCCAGAAGAACCAGAACCAGAACCAGAACCAGAACCAGAACCAGACAGTGTTCACTGTGAAGTATTCTTCCTCTGTCATAAAGACATCAGAATCCCACTCAACGATCTCGTCCTGTGTGTCTTATGTCAGGCAGACCATCTTTTACAGAACACCGGTAGACGGCAGCCATTACAGGCGACCATGTGTTTGTTGTTGTTCCAGGAGCGGTCCGGTCACACATTAATATCATTAGTTCATTATCATTACTGAGCTGAAGGACTGCTTTTTTTCTTTTTCCCCACATCATGTTGCCTGTTTGGATCTGTTACTATTTCGCTCAGAGGCAGGAAGGTGTGTCAGAGGTAAACTCGCTTCAACAACTTTTTACCACGTGGTCTCATTTCTGGACTCAGGTAGTTTGTGAACGAGGTCGATATGTCAGTTAAAATACATAAGAAAAATATTGATCTGAGTATACTGTAGTACTACCCCACAACTTTATGGATTAAATTTTTTTGTGCTATACTAGAAAAAACACGGTAGGTCCTAAAATCCAGCCTTGAGGTACATCACAGCAGAAATAGAGTCGATGCAGAAGAGGAAACAGAAAACTGAGCCTTTCAGACCAACATGTTCAAGTCTGGATGAAAGGATGCTGTGATGAACCTCATCAAAGCAGCAGGTCAACAGAACAGGTATGATCCTGAGCATGTTCAGCTTCCTCCCTGACAGCAGTAGCAGCTGCAGCAGCAGCAGTAGCAGCTCTTCTGCTCCGCTCCAGCAGCTCAGCTCTCTGTGAACATCATCAGGTGCTGCTGCAGGACCTCACTGAGCCGAGGCAGGAGGCAGGAGGCATCAGACAGCTGGAAGCTGAACACCAGGTCACAGTTCAACACTTTTATGTGAGCTGCTGTTTGCTGACAGGAACAGTGAGCCCCCCTCAGAGACCCTGCTGCAGGACAACAGCTCTGAAAGGGTTAAATTACACCTCACAACACAAACATCTTCAACTTTTTCTCTTTGTTTGTTTTCACCAATAAAAATAAACAATGAGGTCAACATTAAAGTGATTGGTTGATATTTCTGTCGTACTGTTGGTGGCGCACATTGTTTCACCACCAGCTGTTAAACATGAAGACTCTTTGAACAAATAATATGATTTGAAATAAATAAAATCAGATCTGGAGCACAGAGTCCAGACCAGGATCCTGAGAGTCCCTCTGAGAACCAGAGTCCTGCAGGAGCAGGAGGAGGTCAGACCTTTCTGATTACTGAGCATCAGTCCAACAAGAGGCTGACACGCCCAGCAGTGTGTGTGTGTGTGTGTCTGTGTGTGTGTGTGTGTGTGTGTGTGTGTGTGTGTGTGTG